AAAAAAGAGCTCTCGAGCGCGGAGGGCAGAGAACCAAAGTATGAAAGTATATATGTTTATACCGCTGACGGACGGTTGCATAAGATATCATACCCCCTGAACCAAATTTCAAAGTCAATATATTCCACAGCAACGAAGGCGTGATGACGTCGAAAATTACGGCGTTGGAAACGGCTCGTCGAGAGCTTTCCGAAGGCGTACTGTTTGTTTTGTACTCCAGCCTTTTCGTCGTGAAGCACTCGAGCTTTGAACACCCATGCAGGGGGGGTGGTATCTGGTGTCACGTACATAAAGACACGCGACAAATGCACATGACACACCGCGCAACAGCATGTTGGCGCCACACAAGCTCCGAACTGCTGTGCCTACCTTACATCGCTAAAGCAGAATCAACTCCGGTAGCCAAGCGTGGAATTCGATCGCGAAGGCTCCCCCCTCGCAGAGAGGGGCAGAGGCGACCAAGGTGATCATAGAGGCGGAGTGTTTTCGTGCAGCGCGCCGAGCAACTAACTGCGCAACCGCCAAGTTCAACCATGCCGTGTCTATTCAAGGCCACACTTGATTGAGAGATGTAGTGAAGCCTTGGACACTTTCGCCCCAAACCACTGTCAGTGGGTACTCACACACCTGTTCCACCGTGAGCTGACTTCCATGGTTGGGATTACGTCCGGCCTAGCTGAGCTTTCCGGCTGCTCGTGATCGTGTTCACCAGCTATTCTGGTACTGTGTTGTACTGGGGTATTCAGACGCGGGCCGTGACCGATCTATGTGTCCCCCCTGTTTTCAAGGAGGCGTCCACCCGCCGTATAAAAGCGGCGGAACGTCCATGCATAGCACGTGTCACTGATTCAGTTCAGCAGTTCCATGTGGTTAGAGTTCAGCAAAGAGCACATTCACCGTGCTGTAGCCCACCTTAAAGAGAGGATCCACACGACAAGAGCGGTGTCGTAAAAAAAGGGAACGGCAGGGTCCAGCTGTTCCCTACCTACCATCGCGCTTGTGCAAAACTGCAAAGAAAACGTGGGTCGTTTCTAGAAGGTGGGTCAAATCTGTTCCTTTCTCTTCCCTTTCGGAGACTGGGTTGTTGACCCCGCTGCAATGATGTGGCAATGTTCATCGTTCGCACATCGCTAAGATTGTTCGCGCTCGAAGGCATTGCTGTGGTGCTTTGACGCGATTATCCTTTTGTGATGCTGGTGTGAATTCACCACTTCAGTCGCGAGAGACGACCAGCAGGAGTCGATGGTACGTTGTTGTTGTTGTTGTTGTTGTTGTTTCTCACATTAGCTCGTACGTGTGCTCGTTGAATAAATGTTTGTCTATGCGAACGTCCCGCAAACCTCCGCGTACCCAGCCCCCCTACCTAGACTACACGATGGTGCAGACGGACCGCAAGGCGCTGGTTGCCCTATACAACGCGACCGGTGGGGCTAAGTGGGAGCACACGCGAAACTGGAACACTAGCGCCGCCCTCTCGCAATGATACGGAGTCGAAGTCAACTGCCAGGGCCGCGTGGTGAAGTTATCTCTGGGTGGCAACAACTTGTGAGGTATTATTATTCGATTTCTTTATTGCGATCTCATTGACCATCCCCAAGAACTCTTTCACCGACGGTGGCCCTTTCATGAAAGTACCCCTCGTATGTGAATTCCCCGCAGTACCAGCAGGCTGTGCGTACAAGGCTACTATATTCGTCCAAGCTATTCGACACTGCAATGTTTCGCCTCCTAGCTTGCTGCTTCAACACGCGCCACCTGTAAAGTACATGACGTTTCTTGGCTTCCAAGTGCCTCTGGTACGCTGGGGACCTTCGGTATCTCGTCTTTTGTAGGGCTCTGATGCGGCGCACGTTGTACTCTGGAGCATTCTCCACGCTAAAACCGTTCCGCAGGGGCCCCGTAGGCTTGGTAGTTGGTTTCCGTGCTGACATCCATCCGTTGTTGTTTGTCGCAGCCATGCCTGGAAAAATGTGGCAAATGCCGTGTGGTGTCACAAATACGGGGAAGGGCGTATTCTAGACGTCGGCAGGGTCGGCGGGGAATAAACAAGAATGACCCGACCGGGTTGTAGAGCATGTACTAGCCTCCGCGACACGTAGCTGGTCGCCTGCAAGGTTGAGGATCTGCAGCCGCTGCAGATCCTCAACCTTGCAGGCGACCAGCTACGTGTCGCGGAGGCTAGTACATGCTCTACAACCCGGTCGGGTCATTCTTGTTGATTCCCCGCCGACCCTGCCGACGTCTAGAATACGCCCTTCCCCGTATTTGTGACACCACACGGCATTTGCCACATTTTTCCAGGCATGGCTGCGACAAACAACAACGGATGGATGTCAGCACGGAAACCAACTACCAAGCCTACGGGGCCCCTGCGGAACGGTTTTAGCGTGGAGAATGCTCCAGAGTACAACGTGCGCCGCATCAGAGCCCTACAAAAGACGAGATACCGAAGGTCCCCAGCGTACCAGAGGCACTTGGAAGCCAAGAAACGTCATGTACTTTACAGGTGGCGCGTGTTGAAGCAGCAAGCTAGGAGGCGAAACATTGCAGTGTCGAATAGCTTGGACGAATATAGTAGCCTTGTACGCACAGCCTGCTGGTACTGCGGGGAATTCACATACGAGGGGTACTTTCATGAAAGGGCCACCGTCGGTGAAAGAGTTCTTGGGGATGGTCAATGAGATCGCAATAAAGAAATCGAATAATAATACACCTCACAAGTTGTTGCCACCCAGAGATAACTTCACCACGCGGCCCTGGCAGTTGACTTCGACTCCGTGCCATTGCGAGAGGGCGGCGCTAGTGTTCCAGTTTCGCGTGTGCTCCCACTTAGCCCCACCGGTCGCGTTGTATAGGGCAACCAGCGCCTTGCGGTCCGTCTGCGCCATCGTGTAGTCTAGGTAGGGGGCTTGGGTACGCGGAGGTTTGCGCGACGTTCGCAAAGACAAACATTCAACGAGCACACGTACCATCGACTCCTGTTGGTCGTCTCTCGCGACTGAAGTGGTGAATTCACACCAGCATCACAAAAGGATGATCGCAATCAAAGCACCACAACAATGCCTTCGAGCGCGAACATTCTCGGTGATGTGCGAACGATGAACGATGCCACATCATTGCGGCGGCATCAACAACCCAGTCTCCGAAAGTGAGGAGAGGAACAGAATAGACTCACCATTTCTTTGTAGCTTGGATAAGCAGCACGGAAGCAAAAGGGGAACAGCTGGACCCTGCCGTTCCCTTTTTTTACGGCACCGCTCTTGTCGTGTGGATCCTCTCCTTACGGTGGCTGGGCTACTGCGCGGTAAATGTTCACCTTGCTGAGCTCTAAGCAGATGCTACTGCTCACTGAACAGTGCGCTATGTGACATGCATCTGTAGGCCAATCTGTACGTCCCGCCGCTTTTATACGGCGGGTGGACGCCTCCATGAAAAGAGGGGGGATATGTAGATCGGTCACGGCCGACACTCCCAGTACCAGTGTACCTGGTGACACGATCACGGACAGCCGGAAAGCTCAGCTAGGCCGGACGCAATCCCAACTAAGGTCAGCTCACGGTGGAACAGGTGTGTGAGTCCCACTGGCAGTCGTTTGGGACGCAAGTGTCCAAGGGTTTCACGACAAAAGTCTCGCCATCTCAAGTGCCCTTTAAGAGACACGTAATAGTTGAACTTGGCCGTTGCGCTGTTGCTCGGCGCGCTGCACGAAAACACTCCGCCTTTGAGATCACGTTGGTCGCCTCTGCCCCTCTCTGCAAGGGGGGAGCTTTCTCGATGTAAGTCCACGCTTGACTACTGGAGCTGATGCTGTCGCAGCGATGTAAGGTATGCACAGGAGCGTGTGTGGCACCAACATGCCGTGTCATGTGTGTACGTTTTCTTGACACCAGATAACATCCCCCCTGTATCGATGTTGTCGATGTTAAAGCTCGAGTGCTCCACGACTAAAACGCTGGAGTATAAAACAAACGATGTTGTTGGTCTTCGGAAAGCTGTCGACGACCCGTTTCCATCTCCACCACTTTCGACGCTATCACGCTTCATTTGTCGCTGTGGAGTGCTTCCCACAGGACTTTGAAGTTTGGGGCAGAGGGGGGGGTGATATCCTGTGCAAACAACGGTACACATCTGAAGACGTGGTGGTACGCGACCAATACAATTGTTACGCGCCCTAGGCCTGCAGAGGGAACGGGTTTCCTCATCTAAGAACGAAGTGGATCTGGTATGGAAGGGTTGGCCCGTATTTCGTGATGTTTTTTCAACGGCAAACCCCCGTACGCGGCGCGTTTCGCATGACATGTTCTGAGGTTTTTGACACTGTGCGTTGCACCGGGTGCACCGAGGTTTGCATACTTACCACCCACTCACAGCAACAGGGTAGGTCCTGGCCTTTCTTTCTCATGTCTTGTACGGCAGTTGAAGGAAGAAATATGTAAGACGGTAGTTGGAATGCGTTGTGCATCCACCACGAAATAAGGACGGGACTGCTCTATCATGTCGGTCCGACTTTGACACCCATCAGCCTCCTTGCCAGTTGGCTTTTCAGCAGAGAATCGCATGCTCGACCGTTTGTGCCGACCTGCGCAATCCCCTGACCTAGACATGAAAAAAAAGTACTGAAAGTTGGTGTTGTGCATAATCTCGGTACGTAGTGTTGACGCGTGTGGCACGAGTTGTTTGTTGCTGAGATGGCGGTGAATCCCCTCCCCCACCTTATGGAGGGGCTCCCATCGATTGGCCCTGATCGGAAGACACGCCACCGACACGTTGTGAAGCTAGACCACCAGGTGGGGTCGTTCTGTGTGAATCATTGTTACTCGGCGGAGTCAACAGGTTCTCGATGCGCACATCCGCCTTACAACATCGTCCCATGGTCACAACAGGCGATGAAGTACGCAAGCATTTTCGACACTTTTGTAATCGACCGCATCCAATCCGTGACTGCAACATCGCATGGTTCATGGACCGAGCAGCGCTCTCGGTCCACCTTTTCCTGCAGCGTTCACGGGGACAACATGAGGAGGGAGAGAAAACCACATCCGGGCGAATGTTGACTCTCGTGACGAAGCTGGTAGGGAAGAGCCCTCTCGGGGAGATGGGGGAGACGAGGAAAAATACCCGGAGGTGGCAGCCGAGAGACGACACCGGATAGCGAGGAGAAAACTCGCACACGAGACGGGCGCCGAGAGTCCAGCATCCGAGAAGGAGTTATATCCTCCTGAGGAAGCTGGCAGAGAGATGGGGGCGCCCGCGGGGGCCGGGGGGTGGCGAGGAGGAAACACCCGACGAAGCTGGCCGAGACGACACTGCCTGACGAGGAGGATGGGCGGGAGCCAGGGACGGGTTACGGTGAGGGGAAGGCGGTTGGGCTGGGTTGGTTTTTTCGTGCGGCAGGAACCGTCGTATACCTCGTATCCCCCAGGAACGAATAGCGAAAAACAGATACATGTGCCGTGACAACACCGTCCATTGGATACCCCGGCTGTTGGAGGAAGGACGCGTTGAATACGAATCCACTGCTGCGCCGGTATATGTGAATCGTAAATACACTCTTATGAGGACACAGGCTACCGTCAGAGACAGGAGCCGGTGCCGTTGCAGTGTTCGCCTACTGCCAAGGATGGCTATTTCCTTTCCTGAGATGTAACGAGGAGAGAGGTAGAAAGAGTGACCAGCAGAAGGCAGAGGAATGAGAGTCGAAGGCTCTCCGCCTCCACTCTCGGCAGGTGGTCAAAGACGATGGAAGTGACAGATCTCAACGATGTATGACTTGTCACTCTGCAGATGGCAAACTTCCCCGATGGATCGTATCCTCCTACTTTGCGTGTGCACGAGTGGTTGGTTGGTTATGCTTCCGACAGGAGTCCTCTACATCACCCCCCCCTCTATGCGCCACAAGTCCATCTGTGATAAAGATGTGCTTTTGGTGTCTCGAGACAGTAGTGGCTCATGGAGATGCATGTATCGGAATTACCCTAGTTTGCACAACACCATCAACAAGATTTGATTATCGTGCCACGCGTGTTAAGAAACACGGAGTCCTCAGACAGGGTGATGAATGTGGTCCACACTAGTATATCTAGAACAAAAAATGGTTGGTACTGGGCTATCATGGTGGCAGTTAGGATACTAAAATATTTTCGTGGTCATGATCGCGTGGCATGCCATGTGCGGGGATGATGAGCTGTAGACTTGTCATGAGGTGGAACCTCTGGCAAGTCTGCCTATACACCTTAAATGAGAGCCTGGGATAGCGGTGCTTCAATTCGGTTCTCCTCGTCAGTGTTTATCCAAACATGATCAAATAGGTTGTTTCCAAAGGGCCCAACCTATCACAGTGGCTACTGGTCCTGTGTTAAAAATCAAGACAGAATAATAGGAGTAAAGTTTCCCAGGTCTAAGAAATAGAGATGGTAACAGCTAGAACGGTTGAAAAATATCAATCGTTTCATTTTCGGGCCCTTGTTGGCTTTCGTTTGCTAGTACGGCAGGGCAATGTACGATCACCTTGCTTCATAGCAGAACGCGGCTGGGGTAAATGTGGACTCCTTTGAGGAGTTCTCCGTCACTGGCTTTTGTAGGTGGCTCAAGGTTAAGGTTCTTCAGGAGGGTTCGTTGCCTGTTTTCGTTTTCGTTTTCTGGTTGTGCACAGAAAAAGCTTCGGTTGACTCTCTTTGTAGCGGTGCAGCTGGCACTGCTCCAGCGGAGTCATGTCATTCTCCGTCGTCCGCGGCATCACCTTCTTCGTTTTGGTGCAGTCCGCCAGACGGCGCACACGATGAAGGTGGTAACTTGAACGGCCGACGACGATGTGACTCGCCCGGAGCAGCGGCAACTGCACCGAGACGAAAGTGAGTCAATCGAATATTGTTGTGTGCATAACCATCGTACGTGCTGTACGCTGCGCTCCGGCGTGAGTACGCATAGTTCAATCACCTACGATGCTACTCCCACCTTAGGCAGGGTTGGTGTGTATGTTTAGCGCCTTGCGTACCGTGTCCCAGTTAAACTTGCAACAATGGGAAATGAAATCAACAACCTTGACCCCCTTGCGTAGTCTGTTCGAGAAGCCCTTGCATGAGTGGCCCAGCCGTACCAAGCGTGCCACCCGGTGCAGGCGTAACAGAACCAAGCTCGGCCTGCAGAAGAAAAAGTACGTGTCTCCGCATATGCCATGTGCATAAACCCAAACCTACCCCACATTAGCATTTTCGAGTGACGTATCATCACTCACCTGTATGGCCCTCATGCTTGCTGACAATTTCTAGTGCACGCTTGCTGTTTGCCTTCGAGTACTCTAGGTACGATTGCGTTGTGGACATCCATCCATCTGTGCATACTCCGCGTACAATGACATGAGCCCCGACACCCATGTAGACCACGGTCCTTGCAGCGGTTGGAATTGCACGTGCGGTTGGTTGCTTGAATGTTGTCAGTGCTTTTCAGGGAGGTATACCCTGGCCGTAAAGCTCGCAAATGCAGCCACTGGAGCAGCAGTCGTGCCGCTGTCACCCGGTGGTTGGTGCGAAGGAAATGTGTCACAACGAACAACCCAAGGCGTGCGTGTTGGCGAGAGAGATTCTCAATTTGCAGGAAGCTTCAAGGAATGCTTGCCGGTACAGACACTCCGTGTCGCATGTCGTCCGGGATGTCTGGCCAATCCGACGAGCTTGAGGGCTTCCTTGGCCGCGCATGGTGTTACGGCTGAACGTCGGATATTGTCCATATGCTCCGCGGGCGTCGTCTGTACATTAAACGTGCGTTTCCGGTCTCACCAATCGAAGATCATTGTAGCGAGCTTGACGATCGCCCGTTGTAGGTAGGAGAGCGATCACCCTCTCCCGTGGACGGGGGTGCTTGCTCGGCCGCGAGCACAGCAGCTTGCCACGATGTATCTAGTGGTTGTGAACTTGTTTAGTTAAGAAAGGAGACAAGACCCAGGAAACTACAGGGGGATCACACTGTTGAACACAGTCGGAAATGCGTTCTGTAGGCTGCTGAACGATAGGATAGTGGGAGTATTGGAGAAGGAACATAGCATTAGTGAGGACCAGGCAGGTATCCGAAAGAAGAGGGGGTGAACAGACCACGCATTCACGGTAGGGAGAATCATCCAAGGTAGAGAGAGGGCGGGAAAGCCGACGTACTGCTTCTTCCTGGACGTAAAAAAGGCATACGATACAAGTATGGAGAAACGGGCTGTGGAAACAACTGTCCACATACGGGTTCAAGGGGAAAATGTTGAGAGTGCTGAAGAAGATGACAGTGTACGAAAAAAGCGGTCATGCTAGACGGAGAACTGTCGAAATTCGTCGACATTGAGCAGGGGGTCACACAAGGTTGCGCGCTGTCCCCAACATTGTTCCAGGTGTTCATCAACGATCTGTTGGAAGTCGTAGAGGCCGTCCGGAAGGGAGTAAATGTAGGGGACACGGAAACTTCGGTTTCAAGAATGCTGTTTGCGGATGATGTTGTCGGTATGTCGGACACCCCTGAGGGACTGCAACTGCAAATTGACGCGGCGAAGAAGTTTACTGATAAGTGGAGATTGTCTGCCAACGTTCAGGAGTGTGCCGTTATGGTATGCAACGAGAACAAGGAGGAACCAGTAGAACATAGATGGAAGTGGGGGATCGAGGAGATTGCAGTAGTGGACCAGTACACATACCTTGGAGTAGAGATCGCAAAAGACTGCTCGTGGAATGCACACATGTCCAAGGTAGCGGAAAAGGGCAAAGCACGAGCAGGGAAGCTGCACCCAATACTCGCAAACCGGCACCTCGATACACGCATCAAATTGAAGGTTTTGAAGAGCGTAATCGTACCGCCGCTAAGGTACGCCGGAGAAGTATGGGAAGGGAATAAGAAGGTAGTGAAAGAACTCGAGGCGGCACAGATGAAAGCAGCGAAAATCATCCTAGGATACTCCAAGCGCACAAGTAATGCCAGCCGTCAGGGCAGAATTGGGGATCCTATCCCTACGGTTGGGGAGAGACGCGAGGAAGCTGACCTGACGGTATCGTATGTGCGGGATGGGAGAGGAGAGGTTGCCGAGAATTGTATGGGAGGCGAAGTGGGCAAACAAAGAGAGGGGTAGACAACCCACGGAATGGGTCAAGGTTGCAGAGAACGCATGGCAGGGGCTATATAAACGATTGGTCATCGGTGATCGGTCCTGTGGGAACAATGCTCCGTCCTCTCGAGGACGCGTGGTCAATGGTCTAACCGCTAAGGCATGAAGATGACAAAGAGTGTACGAAAAGCGCGGTCATGATAGACGGAGAACTGTCCAAGTTCTTCGGCAGTGAGCAGGGGGTCCCACAAGGTTGCACGCTGTCCCCAACATTGTTACAGGTGTTCATCAACGATCTGTTTGAAGCCGTAGAGGCAGTCCGGAAGAAACACAAGAGTACGCCCCCCCCCCCTCAATCAACGTGACAGGCGAGTAGTGTCCGATAGAGAGTGCAGCAGTGGGGAATCCCATTTAGCCGTACACGTGTAAACTTGACTGACCCCAGCATCCTTGCTTTGTCCGTTGTCTGTGGCCTGTTAAAAATGTCACACGTGCGCATCATGTGTTTGGATGCCACATACGGTAGAGGGCTCGGTTATTCCCGTACTGCACTGACGATCCCTGATGAAGTTGTTCCCTCCTTTGCCGATGGTGTGTCCTCGTGTGATGATGAAAAATGCGGTAGCTTTATGATGTACCGCACAAAGTTGTTCTACTGTAGTTGCCGAACTTCGTGGTGGCTGCCACGGTAATTGTTGTCAATCCCAGCTTGCACCTCGCTCATGCTTGTCCTTGCCCAAAACTTGCAAAGACACGTGACCCCCGCCCGTTCTCTCCCTACTTCCCTTCCTTGGTTTGGGGCCATTGCTGTCCATCACTTCGCCTACGCTCGCTGATGTCCGTCGTACTTCAGGCGGCGGCGCCGCCGGCCGACATGGCGAAGGCCAAAAAGTCGAAGATGGGCCAGCAGCCCCAGGCGAGTATAGGTCCCTCCCCCCTGCACCCACGCGCGTGTTCACCTGGATGCAATACAAAACCCGAACCTACCCCAAAATCTCATTTTCACGTTACGCATCATCTCTCACCTGTATTGGCTCTCTTGCTGTCTGACTAGTACCAAATACTTGTGGTGTCCGCTTGCTGTTTGCCTTGGAGTACTCTAGGTACGATGGCGTTGTGGACATCCATCCACCTGTAAATCCTCCCGCGTTCAATAGTATGAGCCCCGACATCCATGTAGACCACGGTCCTGGTAGCGGTTGGAATGGCACGTGCGGTTGATTTCTTGCTTGTTGCCAACGTCTGTAAGGGAGTTGACCGTGACCATAAAGCTCGCAAATGCAGCTGTCACCCGGTGGTTGGTGCGAAGGAAATGTGTCACAACGAACGACCCAAGGCGTGCATGTCGGCGGGAGCGATTCTCGATCTGCAGGAAGCTTTAAGGAATGCTTCCCGGTACAGACACTCCGTTTCGCATGTCGTCCGGGATGTCTGGCCAATCCGAAGAGCGTGAGGGCTTCTTTGGCCGCGCATGGCGTTACTGCTGAACGTCGGTTATTGCCTCATGCTCCGCGGGCGTCGTCTGTACATTCAACATGCATTCCCGGTCTCAAATTCGAAGACTGTTGTAGCGAGCTTGACGATCGCCCGTTGTAGGTAGGATAGCGGTTGGAATGGCACGTGCGGTTGGTTTCTTGCTTGTTGTCAGCGCCTGTTTGTCATCCGGGTTGATGTAGTCTCTATTTGACATACAGACGCGATTTTTGCCCCCAATTGGACGAAAATCGAGGGGGCAAAATAGAAAACAAGGAAAAAAAAAGCGGATGAAGAAACAAAACGCACGACCCAAGGTTCGAACCTGCCTCGTACTGGGTCTATGGAAAGCAACAAAACACTAGGCCTCATAATGGCCAACGTATTCTCTGAAAACTGCCATTATATAGGTCAATATTATGACCTGGCTTAGCCGGAGCCGCCACGCAGCACCCCAAAAAAAAAAAGCATACATCACCTGGCGCAGAATGCTGTGAAAAACGAAGTCCTCCACCAAATTGAGTTAACTTAGGCTTAAATGAAAGGTGAGGTCTACAGCAACACGAAGAAAGAAACAGAACGGCTTTCCTCGATGGTATCGGCAAGATATGTTTTTTTGAAAAAAGTGGTCCCTAATAGGGGGGTGGTCCTTAATACCCACACTTACTCTACTACCTACAGCAGTAGCCTGTCTATCCATCCGGCCAAAAATACAAGCACAACCGATAAACTGCTGCTGCTGCTGCTGCTGCTGCTGTGTTTCTCTCTCCATCTCTCGTTCTCACGCATTATCTACCGTTTACTACCTACATCTGTAGTTGCCAAGATGCTCTCTGGCCAAAAAATAGCTCAAGCCATGAAATCTAATTCATCGAAATTCCTGTCCCCCATCACGTGGTGACAAAGCATTTGGCGTACCTCTATAAACGGCAGTGTAGACAGTAGTCAAAGGGAGCCTGAAAACCCTGTTGGCAAACTCGTGGCTTGTAGAGAGAAGGTTGTTGGATACTTGAGACTTGGTCTTATTAGTTGGTTTGGAATGGGAGTGGGCAAGGTGAGGGCGTGCAGCACCCTTATCTGCCCGATTGCAATACCCCGACAACCCGATCACGAATCACATCACACTATCCCGATTCCCCGATCACGGGTAGTTGTGCTCTTCCTACGAGCCACAAGTACATCGGAGGAAAGCACAAACCACCAACAGATTGCCCGACAGAGACTTAAACGAATGTTCCACAGCGGAACGTGCAGAACCGGAGTAACCTTCCAACGTCAGTCCCGCTAGTCAAGTCGTCCAATCAGATATACCCCGCCATTGAGTCGATACACCTGCCGCTACCACGAACAAACCCGCCCGATGAGATCCGAGCAAACAGGCCAGANAGAAAGTGGTGCCTTACGTCGATGTGTTTACTTCTCCCCGAGCTAAGCGGATTATCAGCAAGCGCAATCGCTCCCTCGTTGTCCTCTAGTACCTCAATCTCACGAGACTTCTCACTAGGCCTCAAGAACTGAATAATTTCGTCTACAAACAGAGCCTCCTTTACACCATCACCCATCGCTAGGTACTCTGCTTCCGAAGTCGACTGAGCGACGCATTTCTGCGTCCTGGAAGTCCAAACGACAAGCATTTCCGGCCACAAAAACCAACGCTTCAGAAACGGATCTACGGTCAGTGGCCTTGCTGTCAAAGTCGGCATCTACGTACACCAAAGTCCCTACGTCTACCGAACTATCCCGCTTGAAGTTTAGACTAAGATGTGCCGTGCCCAGAAGATAATTCAGGATCTTCTGAGCTGCCTTCCAGTGGCTTAACTTCGGCTCGTGGGAGTGTCTTGCCACAGCCCGCACAGCATTAGAGATGTCGGGTCTCGTCTGGCTGGCGATCCACATTAGGCATCCCACCACCTCACGGAACGGCACATCTCCCGCCTCCTCATTCTCCATCACGGACCTGTTGACAACAGTGGGGGAAGCGGGGATCGAGCTGGCGCGAACGACATTGAATCTCTCGAGGACACTCCTNAAGTTTAGACTAAGATGTGCCGTGCCCAGAAGATAATTCAGGATCTTCTGAGCTGCCTTCCAGTGCCTTAACTTCGGCTCGTGGGAGTGTCTTGCCACAGCCCGCACAGCATTAGAGATGTCGGGTCTCGTCTGGCAGGCGATCCACATTAGGCATCCCACCACCTCACGGAACGGNAGAAGAAGAGTGCTTCCGGAAAACAGAGAAGCAGGGGTCACAAACACAAGAACCCCAAAATGGTATGTCTACGTTCCTATCTGCGAATATATCCGTTACTGCGGTCGATCAATACCTGTCCGTATCCAAACACACGAACACCCTGGTTTTTCACGCAAGTGGGAAACCATCCGTGGGGCATGGTTACCCCTGATCATACCTAGAGACTCTAAGCAGTAACGGTGCAAGGGAAAACCCGGCCATCCGGATCAAAAATCCTCGCCTACCCTAAACATATATAACCGTCGCTATCACGGAGGATTCCAACGGCCGCACTTCCAAGACAAGATCAAGGCAGGACAAATTGTACCGGGCACGGGGATTACGCATCTCTCGGTAGCGCTACGGGCGCTTCTAGGCTCCAACCTCGAGTGACGTGCCGGTAAATCCTTCCTGCGTGACGTACCATGATCATAAAGTCCAGTGCTAAACAACAA